TGTTGTAAAGTAATCACCACTGTCTGTTTCCAGAACTTTTTCGTCATCTCAAACAGAAACTCTGTACCCATGAAATAACATCTCCCATTCTCGCCTTCCCCTAGCCTTTTGGTAACCTCTGTTCCTTTCTGTCTCTATGATTTTGCCTGTTCTAGGTACCTTATTTAAGTGAAATCATTTAATAGTTATCATTTTGTGGCTGGCTTATTTCACTTAGCCTAATATTTTCAAGGTTCATCCATGTTGTAACACATCGGAATTTCCCTCCTTTTTAGGCTAATATCCATTGTATATATAGATCGCATCACATGTTTCCTAAACTTTAGTTTGTTGTGCTTAGAAATTCTTTTAAATGCTCTCCATTTTTTTCAGCATGTTAGGTTCAAGTTACTACTTTGATATTTCTTTAGGGGATCCCTCTTACATTACTAAAAATATGTGCATTCAGCTAAGGCATGGCTAATGTAAATATCACTGTTAATTTAGCAGCTTTTGAGCACTTACTGTGTGTGGGGTGCTTTGCCTTGTTAGGTTCTCATGTCGAGTCTGTGAGGTAGGTGGTATTATTACTCCCACATGTGAGAAACCTGAGACCTGAGGAGGTTGTCCAGGGTCACACAGCTAGTAGCTGGCCTGGACCAGATTTGAACCAGGTTTATGTAGAGATGAATTCTGTTGGCCATCATGCTACATAATCTCCATTTGGAAGCATAATCACAGACAGACTGAGCTTTAAATAATGGATAGAGCTGCAGCATCAAATTATATGATAATCTTTGAGGAATGGATCACCAGATTATATATATTCACATTTTCAAGCACTTTCAAATTGACAGGTCAAAATAAATGTTTTTATGTTTGAATCACATTATTTAGAATGTAAATGTGACAATTATCTTATTTACACTTCACACACACATGCTAATGGATAATCTGTCCGATATTTTAACCTTGCTTTGAGTGGAGTGTGTCTTCTTTCTGTTTAAAGGGAGCTGTCTGAATGATCCGTTGCTAGTTTCTTGATTTCTCAGTTGAGAAACAGGAAAAGAGACTTTTATTGAGGAGGTTACAAGATTTTAACTGACAGAAACAATTAAGTGACTGTAAAATTTTTTTCTTTGAATTTTTGCTGCCTGTCTTCACTTCTGTATTTTTATTCTCTTTGGTGTACTTTATGTACAATTTTATTAGAGTTTTTCAAGTTGAACCAGTCTGTTCTGTCATTGAGGTAGGTCTGGGATACCTTACTAAACCTTCCAAACTCCCTTCTAATTCTTTCATCATAGGTTTACTTGAATGGTGACTAAAAACCAGTGTACTAGGCCATCTTATTAAAAGAATAAATAATTGGAGACCTTTTTGGCATGCTGTTTTCTCAAACTGAGGGACTGTAATAAATAACCAGTTCAGTGTTTAAATCTTGAGTGAAAACATGTATTTCCTGTTCTTTCCTTTCTATGCAAGACCATTTCAGAAGATGCTTGGATTTGCCCAGGGTTGTTCACTCACATGTGTTAGAAGTTTAAATGAGGGATAATATAACTGACATTGTTTAAAACATTAAAATAGGAGTCAAGTAAGTTTTACTCCAAATGCACTCTTCTTTCTTTTTCTCACTGTGTTGGTTGGAATCTGAATTTTTAAGTCATATTTTCTGTTACTTTTTTGAGAAAATAAACACAGTATTATCTTGCATGGTGGTGAGACAGGGACCATGGGTGTAGTCAAAGTAGAGTGAGGGCCTTCTGGAAAAAAGCAAGGCAGGATAATTACAGTCAGAGCAATGTAACTGCATGCAAGGAAACCCCCTACCAAAACTCTGTGTTAAACATTAAGCTCTAGAGTCATTCTTCAGTGAGATCAGTTAGTATTCTTCAGATAAAGGAAAGTAGCCCATGTTTTTATTATGGTAATCGTTTGTAATCATGTGTAAGATTCACTTTAGCATGCTTAAAGGCCCAGGCCTGTGTGCTGTCTTTTCTCCTTCATACCTGATGAGGTGATTTGCAATCTGGGCAATTAATAATGGCAAGCAAGCCCAGCCATAAACAACATAGTAAAAGGCAAGAAGGATTCCATCTTAAAAATAAGATTGCATTTTAATACCCAGGAAGTTAAGAAGTAAGATTCTGTCCAATATTTTAACCTTGTAAGGATATTCTAACCTGAGTAAGATTCTTAACTTACTCTTTAGCAAACAGACAATACCTCAGCACACCTTAGGGGCTGGGCAGGCAGTCTTGTTTGATATGCTCCCAGACCAAGATGCTGATATCTCAGGGAAAAATCAGAGCAGTAATTTTCTTGTGTTAAGTTAATTTGAAATATTCAGGGACCACTTAACAAGTCCACACCCCTAAGCCCTAAGCCCTTTATCACAGTTCCAAAAATCATCAACTGCCTATAAAACCCCTAGATAACGTACAACTACAGGCTCTCTTGTCCCCTCCTGGCATGAGCCAGGAGCTCTGTTCTCTCACTTCATCTCTAAATAAAAGCCTCTCCCTAGCTCTTGAGTGTTTGCTAAGTTCATTCTTCAACTCTGCAAACAAGAACCCTGGCATCAGTGGTGGTTGAAATTTTGACATTTTAATAGTTACAGTTCCTTTAATTTTGGCAGTTGAGTGACAGCATATAGGATTGTCAGTGAATTGCATGAATATAAACACCTTGTTGGTTCTGCTGGGTGCATTAAAAATTACTATCATAAATTTATATCTAGTTTTTATCCTTTGACTTTTTCCTATGAACAGGTCCTTTTAAAACATTAACGTTCCCACAGTTTAACCACTGAATGGGGTGTTTCTAGTTTTGTGAATAATTTCTGTAATTCTCTTTGCTAAGTAAGGTAAGGGGAAAAGTCTTCAGAAATGCTTTGATACTTTTCTAAATGGTTACTTGTTGATTTATTCAGGTTGTGTTTTAAGTTGACAAACATTATATAATTTGTCAGAGTATGTATGTTGTGGGATAAAAAGGACATTATTAATATAAAATGTCAATTTTGAAATCACTTTAAAATTTTCAGTGAAAGGGACTTAACATTTTCAGTGTTTATTTTATGCACTTTGTAACTAGTTACTTTGATTGTTCAGCAAATCTCTGTTCAGAAATCTATGTATAATTTTACCCCCAAGAGCTTTCTGCCCATCTGCTTTGCATTAAAAAATTTGAACTATGAGATTGGTGTGCTAAAAAAGTAAAAAATTTATCTCCCTGACCAAACTATGGTTGATGTTTTCATAAGTTACAAAAATCCATCTATTGTTCTACCACTTAGCTTATTAGATTAAAAAATTTCTGTTTTCTTCCAGTTCCTATCATTCCTATAAATTTTACATGGTTTTAATTATAACCTAGATAAAGTTTTTATAATGGCTAAATACATGTATGACACAGCTTCTTTTAGTTACATATAGAAATTCCTAGTAGTAAATGGTAGTGTTTTGGATTGATATGTGGATTTGCCTTAATGAAAAGGTGGCTAAATTAATATTCTTATTGAAGGAGTACTAAAATAACAGTTATGTTTATTCTTACATTGTGACCTTGGACAAGTTAGCTTCTCTATTTCTGTCACCTGTAAAATGAAAATACTCCTGTTTCCTCAGTTAACTTCTCAGGGTTTTTAAATGAAATCTAATGAAAAAGTCAAGGTGACAAAACTTTGAATAGTATATAGGTTTGTACAAATTCTAAGTTACATCTCATCAACAAATACATTTGCATACTAACAGTTAATATGCTAAAGTCTTTAAACATTTCTTTTGTGGAAGGTTAAACAATAGTTTTACCAAATATCTTCCTCCCTTGTTGAAAAACTTTAAAATATAACATAAAAGTCAGTTTCAGTTCACTTTTAGCCAGACAATCCCAACTTCTAAGTTAGTGGAGTTCAAATTAATGAAGTCTTGGTTAAGTGTACACGTGGTTGCAATTTTTAGTTTTTAAAAATAAATTATTTTTCTCTGTAGTGTAAGAATTTATTTTTCAATCTGATTTTATTTGGGAACCCAAATACTTCTATATTTGAGAATATGGGTTTTTTTTAAGTTGCAGTGTTGTTCCACAATGATTGGTAAGCTTCTTTTCTAAAATTATGTATTATTCAGCTTCTTTTTTTTTCTTTCTTTAATCCCTGAGGATTACCACCATGGCCTGGCAGTGTCCATTGGTACCTATTATTTTATTTAAAAACCCAAAGTGTGGATGCATGAAGAATAAGACAGATGGGTTGGTAGAAAAGAGACAGTTGAAAAGGAGAAAAACAAAAGTCGGGTGGTAGAAACCAATCAGGACCACAAACAGTTCCTTCTGGTGTTGTTCACTGGCCCCATGGTCTAAGTCACAGGTTATCAATTAAGTTATCAGCTTTAGTGCGCTGCTTCTGTTAACTCCAGTGGAATTTTACTTGCCAACTATAGCCTGACTTGTTACACCCATTGACTAAAATATTGTGAGTAACTTTTACATATTTTCATGTGTGACAGTTACCAAGAATAGATATTTAGTTCATTAGATGACCCATTTAAAATGTTTATTTTGGTTGTAGGAACTTGAATTCATGTAAAATTAGCTTCTTTGTCCCTACCAGCCAATGTTCATTCTTGTTTGTCAGCTTTGGAAAACTGCCGCCTAACAGTGGTGCTTTGTTGACGAGTGAAGGAGCTCATGCTCTAACACTGAGCAGCGCTGGTCTGTGTATTCTTTCATTCACGAGCTCATGGCAGGGGCTCCCTGACACTGTGGTGGAGACCAGATCTAACCATCAAGGCCAGGGTTGCTTCTCTTCTGTCCTGTCACCTCGTGAATTGTGGTTGATGACATTTGGGGACATTTTCTGCATCAGTGGCTGATAGTCCAAATGTTTTTTATAATGAAAAAATATCCACATTTTGTGAAATTAGTATTTGCTAATGTTTTCTTTTTCTATTACAACTGAACATTTCTGTATCCCCTTCATTATACCATTCTTGAAGTTGAGGTCAGAGCGTTGTAACATGGAGTTTAAATCCGAAGAAATGGAGAACTCTCTGTACGGTAGTTCTTGATGAAAGAATTTTAGTGGTGTTGAATAGAATTTGTTTTAAATTTACAGTGGTATGATAATAATTTGCCAGTTAGATGTCACATCCTTTATGAATTCCTCTCTATAGGCCATTTTAGAGGGGGAAAAACCCTCTGTATTTGTCATAAGGTTGCTTCCTGTCAACACATGCTTATCTGAGTGTAAAGATCACTAGACTGGATATCAAAAAGGTCTGGGTTTGTAATTTTGCGAATCTGGGAATATATATGGGCTTATAAGTCACAATTACGCACTTTCAGTGGGAATGGTAATTGGTTAAATCCTTCTGGAATGTAATTTGCAATATTCATCAGAACAGAAGCGTTTATTCACCTAGAAATTCCACTTCTAGAGTTTATGTTGAGATAATTGAACAAATTCAGAAATATATGTGGAAAGATATATGTGTAAAGATGTCCATAGTAATGATGATAGCAGAAAATTGTAGCATCCTAAATGTCCACCAGGAAGGAGGTTGAGTAAATAAGTAAAAATAGTGCATCTGCACAGTGAACAAAACAAAATATTAAATATGACCATATGTTTATAGACATGGAGAAAGATCCAAGCATATTAAGTGGTTAAAACCAGTTATAAAACCATTTACACAACATAATCTCATTCAAGTGAAATTGTGTATGTGTGTATTTTAAAACTGTGTATATTTATGTAATTCTTGTATAGGTTTGTATTGCTTTATTTTTATTCAATTTTTTAAACTTTTCATTTTGAAATAATTAGATATTCACAGTATTTTGTAAAAACTCTACGGGGAGGTCCCTTGCATTCTTCAGTCAAGTCACCCCTGATGGTAATATCTTGCATAACTGTAGTTCAGTATGAAACCAGGAAATTGACAGTGGTACAATCCACAAAAGATATTGACATTTCACCAGTAAGTTATGCATGCATTCATTTGTGTATGTGTGTGTGTGTATAGCTCTGTATCATTTAAAAAATTTTTATTTTGTTATCAGTCTACAATTACATGAGCAATATATGGTTACTAGACTCCCCCCATTATCAAGTCCCCACCACATACCCCATTACAGTCACTGTCCATGCTACAGAATCACTACTTGTCTTCTCTGTGTTGTACAACCCTCCCCATGTCCTCCAACCCCAACATTATGTATGCTAATCGTAATGCCCCTTTTACCCCCTTGTCCCTCCCTTCCCACCCGTGCTCCCCTGTCCCTTTCCCTTTGGTAACTGTTAGTTCATTCTTGGGTTCTATGAGTCTGTCGCTGTATCGTTCCTTCAGTTTTCTCTTTGTTCTTATGCTCCACAGATGACTGAAATCATTTGATTCTTGTCTTTCTCCGCCTGGCTTATTTCACTGAGCATAATACCCTATAGCTCCATCCATGTTGTTGCACATGGTAGGATTTGTTTTCTTCTTATGGCTGAACAATATTCCATTGCGTATATGTACCACATCTTCTTTATCCATTCATCTACTGATGGACATTTAGGTTGCTTCCATTTCTTGGCTATTGTAAATAGTGCTGCGATAAACATAGGGGTACATGGGCTCCTGCATTCTTAGGGTAAATTCCTAGGAGGGGAATTCCTGGTTCAAATGGTATTTCTATTTTGAGCTTTTGAGCTTTTTGAGGAACCTCCATACTGCTTTCCACAATGGCTGAACTAAATTACATTCCCACCAGCAGTGTAGGAGAGTTCCCCTTTCTCCACATCCTCACCAACATTTGTTGTTGTTTGTCTTTTGGATGATAGCCATCCTCACTGGTGTGAGCTGATACTGCATTGTGGTCTTAATTTGCATTTCTCTGATGATTAGTGATGTGGAGCATCTTTTCATGTGTCTGTTGGCCATCTGAGTTTCTTTGGAGAAGTGTCTGTTCAGATCCTGTGCCCATTTTTTAACTGGATTATTTGCTTTTTGTTTGTTGAGATGCATGTAGCTCTGTATTATTTTATCATATGTATAGATTGTGTACCACTACAATCAACGTATTTAATGGTTTCATCCCAACAAGGCCTCCTGTGCTTTTCCTTCATAGCCACACCCATTTCTTGCCCCTCCGCATCTCTAACCCCTGGCAGCCACTAATCAGTTTTCCATTTCTCTAATTTTGTTATCTGAAGACATTTATATAAATGGAGTAATATAACATGTGAACATTTAAGATTAGCTCTTTTCACTCAGCATAGTATCCTTGAGATCAATTCAAGTTGTCTTATATCTCGGTAATTAGTTCCTTTTATTGCTGAGAAGTAGTACTCTATGTTGTGTGTGTACCATAGTTTGTTAAAATAATGACCCATTGAAGGACATTTGGATTGTTTTCCATTTTTGGCTATTACAGGTAAAGCTGCTATGAACATTGTGTACAGGTTTTTGTGTGAACATAAGCTTTTATTTTTTTTGCAATAAATGCTCGAGGGTGCAATTGCTGGGTTGTATGGTAAGTGCATTTTCAGTTTATATGAAACTGCCAAACTGTTTCCCAGAGTGGCTGTATCATTTTACATTTTTACCAGCAATGTAGGTGAGATCTGGTTTCTTTGCATCTTTGCACTAATGTCATTTAAAAAATTTTTAGCAGCTCTGATAGGTATGTCGCATTATCTCATGGTTGTTTTAGCTTGGTTCATTTGTATAATAAAAAATAATAATCATTCTTTTTTAAAAAAGAAAAATTACCTAGATTTAAGTCTCTGTTCAGTCACTAGAAGTTACTTAATACTGAGAAGCTTTGCTAGGTGAATAAGAAATATTGATTTCCTTATGAATCCGATAGGGTTGTAAAGTCTACTATGGTAAAGCATTAATGTATGAAATCAAGGCAGATCATGTATGGCTTGACACAGCTGTCTGATATTTCAGAAATTACTAAATTATAATTTATATTTATGTTCTGTGCCTTGGTGGGGGAAGACTGGTGAATTATTTCTGAGCTAAATTAAGAAATAAATACATGCAAACTTGACAGTTTAATATTTGCAGCTTTGGGTTGGGGAACTCAAATTTATTGAGCTGTGTGTGGGGCACTTCACATAAATTGCTGTATAGTTTTTACAACTCTCCTATGAGGTGGTGGCATCCTTACCTCCATTTTACAGATTAGGAAACTGAGACTCTCAAATTCAGTAACTTGGCTAGGTTATACCATTAGAGGAAGCTGGAACTTAAAATATGTGGCTTCAAAATCTGCACTCTTTTCAATATACCAGGGTCTTACATTGTTTTCAGTAATAGGCCACATGATTGGAAATCCATGTGGCCAGTGTCCATGAGTTTGTTAATTGATGGTAATGGTTGAGAGGTAGGACATTTGGTGTATTGGTATTGAAAGTGACCAGCCTGTGAAACCAGTGGATGCAGAGATATTTCACATTATTATTATTGGTATTCCTGTCCTGTGTTCCTTTTTGGTATGTAACTTCAGTGGAATTGAGCTAGAATTTTTAAAGACCGTGTACTTGACTATGTTCTGCTTTAGGAACAGTTAGTGGTTTATTCAGTTTTGCTGGCCCAACACTTGCAGCAGTTGTTAATTGTAGTGGTAGTTGTGAGTACTGGGTTAGGTGTTACGGTATGTACCCCAGAGGAGGCGTTATTCTTGTTACTATTACTCACAGTATATTTTTATTTTCTTCCTGAAAATCTCAAGATGGTTGTAGTCAGGGTCAGACATTGAGCCACAGTATACCTGGGGCACCTTGCTGCTGCCATAAGAGTTCTGTTTGTGTGTGTTTTGATTCTGTGCTTAAGGGATTCCCATTTAATGTAGGATAAAATTGAAACTTTTTAATGTGACATAACTTTCTCACTCTTGTGCTCTATTTTAGCTTCCAGTCTTCTCTGCTACCTCTACTTCTCAGTTATTTAACTTTGTCATGATGTATGTTGGTTCACCAAGCAGAGGTGGCATACACTGCATTGATTATTTGAGACATAACTTAGAAATAATTCAGGTGTATTATTGGCATTCACTGGGGAATTTTGTTGCAGAAGCTTTCACAAGCACGTGGAGGGTGTGAGGTTGAGGTTGAGGACAGTTCACTCCCTAGAGATTCTCTTCATGAAATCCAAGTAAGGAAGGGAATGGACTGAGAGAGAATACAGGCAAGAAATGGTGGTGGTAATGTTTAACAACTTCCTCTAGTTGTGGGAATTTTAATAACTATTTCCTTGCTGAATTGTCTTCAGGGAAGTGCAATGAAAATTCTTGAAACTGTAGACAATTCCCTAGACTAGTTTCAAATTTTCTTGTGTATGTGATTCTTAGGCATAGCTCTCCAGTCTCCCAGGTCTCATTGATCATTGGAGTGTCACCAGCAATACTGAGATTCCTGTTCTGTGACTCCATGTGTTTATGTTGCTGCTGGATTGATGTAGTGGCCAAGCCCTGAGAAGAAGGAGCCTGATGTTATCCCATTCAGATTGCTTCTGGTGGAGTCATACATACAGAGTCAATATGGTTATTTATCTAGAGTTTAGTTCACTTAGCAAAAGTATAAGAGATTATTAGTTTTAAATATCCCGAATTTCCCATTACTGAGACCTTTCCATTTGACCTGGAGTTGTGGAGTTTATGTATATAGTAAATGTGAAGTACTCTTTTTGCTGTTAATGTATTTACTCTGTATTGGTATAAATATTTGACTGTCACCTTTCACCTCCTTTTTGCATGCTTCCAGTGCCCAAAATCTGCCTTCAGAAACATTTGGTTTCTAATTGTAATTGTCTTGGAAACACTGGCATATTTTGCAGTATCATTTTACTTTTATTTACTGCAAATGACGATTTGTTATTTGCCTGCTGCCAGAAACTCTGAGCTCATTTGTTTAACTAAAACATTACGGTGCATAGATGCCTATAACACTCAGCAACAGTTACCAGCCACCCCAGTTGCGTACTACCTCATTTTAGCTCTAAATCAAGCAAATGAGAAAGAAGATTATTCTTAAAATGTTCCAAGAAGTTTAGAAAATTGGAGGA